CTGTTATGAAACATTTATACATTTATATATTCCCTTATCCTACAAGGATTGAAAAACAGAAAGGAAATACACATGTCACACCAATAAAAAGCCATACATGAAAAACTTCGAATTTTCAGTCTTGGTTTGATAGTTTATGATCACTAACTGCTGGGTTTCCATCTTAAATCAGCTGATGCTGAGGTTTTCTGTGGTGATATTGTCAAACTATTTTATTTGTGGCTTGTCCTCTGGCGATCCGCAGCTGTTTGTCTGGTCACATCCATCATTAACATTATCATCGTCGTCGTCGTCATCATGGTGTGGGGTGGAGATGAAGAAGCAGCTGCTATCTTTGTTATAATTACTTCCTAAAAAGATTAAGATCTTGTGAGCGATGGTGACAACTGATCAGTGCTTCAGAAAGACAACAACATGAGCGTGGACTTGGTGACAAAGACACGCCACTCCCCATTCTTTAAAACAATAAACATCATTAAATAAATCTAACAGTCATTTTTACCCACGTAAACTACAGGGGGAGCTCAACAAACACCCTAAAGACAAAGTCTCACACCCATAAATCCACGTACTTTGATTACTCATCAACTGTGGGTACTGCGTGCACCTGTCGTTCAGTCGGGGGTATTACATACGGCACCACGACCGTTAATAATTACATGACGTAGCCATCAGGACGTCGTGATATAGGTCCTGATGCCCCACCTACGCACCAGTTGCTGATTGGCGTTACGCAGGTATCCAGCCGCTGCTCCCAAAGACCGAACGGCTCCTTCATCCTCCGTGCACTCACTGCGGGATCTCTCCACATCCACTGCACTCCGCACCAGGGCGCACACAGCCGACTCTGTTACCACAGTACCTGCTCCACAGAAATAAGGTAAAAGGAAAAAAAGTTATTTATAACCCTAAAAGAAGTGATTTTTGTTCTGTTCTGACAGATTGGAGAATTTGGCGGATTTTTTTTTTCAGAGTGAAGATGTAATGCTGATGACCTGTAGTGTCTTCTTTATATTGATTTTATTGTATAATGAAGATGTCGGGCTCAGCAGTTAATGTTTTGATAAAAAACCTGGCAGGTTTTACACGTGTGTTTGTAAATCCGTGCGCTTTTACGCACCGATTACGCACCAAATTTACGCGCAGGCGGCGGTGCATCCAGTGATGATGTGTTACTGAAAATCCAAATCTATTGAAACGACACCAGTGGTCATGTTCTCGTGTACTTTAGGTGGTGCTGGAAAAATGAGGAGAGGTTTTCTGCTGGTGACTCTGGTCCTCGTCGTCAAACTTCGCTGCGGCCAGTCCAGATGCGAGGAGGCAGAGTCGAGCAGATCGACTTCAGATGTGAGTTCAGCGGACCGAAAACGAAAAATAAAATAGATTCATGACATTCTATAAATAGAAAATATTTTTTAAAATATGTTTTTCTGTTGCCTTTAACCTTCAGCACAGCACTGGTTTGGAGAAAATCAAGAGGAGTATTTTGAAGAGGTATAACGATTGGGATTATGACAGCTTTGTGGGTCTGATGGGCAGAAGGAACACGGGTGAGTGTTTTCTTAACTAAAAAAACCCCGATATAAATTATAATAATGATAGGGTTAATTCAAAAGTTACAATTGTGAAGGTTCTATATTATAACCTTATTCAGATTTTAATTCAACTGGAACTCTTGTTTGAATTTCTCTTCAGATGAAAACAATCTTCAGTCACAACAAAAAAGTAAGACACCTGTGGTTTTTGTTTTTGGGAGGATAAAGTGTTTTTTTTTTTTTTTCATTTTGTGGAATTAAAAATTGTAATTCTCCTCAGGGGAAATGCACGACATTTTTGTTGGACTTATGGGAAGGAGAAGTTCAGAGTCAGGTGAGCGCAGATATCTGCGAAATTCAAATATCAATTTATTCCTGCATTTTTTTTATGCTCATCAAACATCCACTGCACATCTTTATTGTGGGTGTCGGGGGTGTGATGTGTGTTGCTCTCCCAGATAATGGTCCCTGGAGGAGAGCGTATCCAGAGAGGAGAGGTATTTCTCTGCACAAGTGCAAACTGAGGTGAGCCGCTGCTCCATTTTCTGTGAGGGTAAAAAAACCCAACACAAAGCTTTCATTACTTTGAAAATTGGAGTTTACACTTGACCTTGATCTGGTCAAAAGAGAAAAAAATATACTCTCAAGATTGATTATTTTCAAGGTGAAATGTTTTAGAAAGCAATGTTGGCTTGAAGAACGTTTGTGAGAAACAGAGGGGGAGAAAAAAAAAGAACCTAAAGGCGTTTCTCTGTGTTTTTGTTTTGTTCTTCAGTGTGTGAATTTAAGCTATTATGACATGATGATGATGATGATGATGATGTGTGTGATGGGTTCCAGGTTTCTTCAAGGTCTGTAGAAAAACCAACAACATCGACTGTCAAAGACCGACCCAGAAAAACAACCGAAGGAGTTCATGTCCACGGAAACCAATAAAAACCACGCGATTCCCACCTGGGCGCCGTCACCTGACTTCATGAAGTGACCATAAACTACATGGATTGTATTTGATTCATATGTAAAGACGAAACACAAGTAGATGTGAGACCTATTTGTTGGATTTTGTTGAAATAAAGAGACTTTTTATACATCACTTATTCATTCAAACATCTCCCTTCACAGCAGTGGTTTCTGGGTGATTTTCAGCTTTGGTGTAGATGTACACACCATCTCGTCTGTTACAGTATTTACTGTTGCCAGGCATAAAAGGGAGGGTCGTCCTGACTCTTTTTTTTCTTTACAAATTGATATGTGTATTTTCAGTTCAGTGTATTCGCCGGTACCGAGTAACGTCGCTGATACATCTTCAGCTGAGTTTCATTAAATATGTAATAAACTGAAGGCAGTGTTATAGATGTGACGCTGCTCTGGGAAATAACAGTGACATGAGCGTAGGTGTTAGCTCAACCCAGACCAGAGTTATGACACCGAGGAGGAAAACATTAACAGCCAGTTTTATTTTATTTTCGTAAACACAAGGCTGATTCTGTCCAAATAAACAAATCTCTATGAATTAAACGAAAAAGTTTTCAAATTAATATGAGACAATAAATCAATGCAACAAGATTATAAATCAACTTTTTTTTTTAATTCAACTTTCTGAACCGTTGACACAGTCAGCTAAACAGAAAGTGATCCGAGCTTTGGGACCAATAGCACATTCCCAATGTCAACACAGTCTCCTGTTTTCCAGGCAGGTGTCACTTAAACTGAAGGACTATTTTTATGTAACAGTAAACAAATGAAAACACACAATGTTGGTCAAATAAGTCTCAAAAACAGTCATTTAGTGAGCCTTTATTATTATAATAAAAAATCCTTTGCTCCTGTTTTTGTCTTTGTACCCAGTGTCAAAATACTCAAATAAACTACCTTTGAGTTTAACAAGATGCTGAACTTCAGTAGGAAAACATACAACACTGACTGAACCAGTACGCAGCTGGTTGTGGAGGATCAACTCTCTGGTCTGGCATGTTTTAGGAGTATTTCAATGAACCATCAGTCCAGTATTGATACTGGTGCATCCCTAATAAAAACACTGAAACACCAAGCATTTACTTGACTTTTTCTGTAACACTATATGTGACAATACAAACAGAGAGTTGGTGAACACTTCACAGTCCAAAACAAAAAGCTTAGTTATGCTGTAAAACAAAGATCTCTGCCGACTGTTGATTTGAACAGAAATTAAAAACAACTCGTAAGATATTGACTTAAATAAAATTAAACAAACAATGTGTCGACATATTCTAATTGAAAAAAATAAAGAATCGGAATGGTAAAAGTCAACAACAGATCTAAAAAATTAAAAAATAAAATCCAGAAGTTATTTAACTAACTGAAATCAACTGATACTAGGTGTGCCTTTTGTTTCCTTCTCTTGGAGAAAAATATAAAATATAATTGTGACTTCTCCATTCCAAACACTGGCCATGTCGGGGTTAAGTAGTCGATCTGAGCGTCGTCCGACATCAGA